TTCAGCAAGGAGATATGTTTTGAGGCGCAGGTAGCGGGGCAAATTGATGGAGAGGCCTAGGCACCCTTTACGTTAGGAACACTCATTAGGGCGAGCTCAAACCCAACTTTCTGTGTGAGATTTGCTCGTACATCAATTTTCCATGGCCCATATTCAAGGTCATCGAATTTAAGACCTCACTGAATGCATCATAGCAGGGGACATGGGTTGGGTTGCACGTTGCTGAAGCTCCCCTTTCCAGAAACGTTCTCTGTCAATGTTGTTACTCGGCACAGCTTGCCAATGTGACCCTGCTCAGCATGTGTTTCGCCTCCGCCTACTGCATATGCGGGGTATCATTCGGTTCAAGCTGGGAGTTCCCTGATGACTCTGAAAGGACACACCGGACAACGAGAGTGGATTGGTCGGATTCTGAGACTGATTCAATATCGATGGCATCATCCTCTGCTGATAAAGCTTGGACAAGCAGATGCGAATTTCGAGCTGCATCCATGATTCCATGCAACGATGGGAGACAGATAGGGAAATTCGAGAACAACGGCTGGACCACGATGGGCATGGAGTTCGGGCGGTACGAGAACGACATCAGCAGCAAACTGGTCAACAAGGTTAGCTATGCGTCATACGCAGATTTGCGCTAGCCGTTGCGAAGTTTGGGCAAGCTTGGTAAGCTTAGGCTGGGCTGGGCAAGTCTCAGAAGGCGCCGTTCTCGGAGTTATCGGGGGTTGCAGGCCGCGGTCGCGTCAATGACGAGAATCGTCTCAAGTTTCAAGCTTGAACCGGGCAATGGCCTGTGTGTTCATGTTTTCTGGTCTGACATGAAAACGTTGAAAATTTCGGCGGATATTGAAGTTTGAAGGTGAGAGGTTGATCCGAGTCTCTCAACGTTGGCCGAGGCCAGCCACGGAGCATCCGAGGATATCGGAGGCTCCTCTCCCCTCACCGAGCCGTCACCGGTCGTCGGTCTGCCATGTGAGTCAGGGTCCTCTCGGTGTATCGCGGTGAGCTCCGGGTTACCGAATGCGGCATCGGGGCACAGGTGAGCGGGCCAATGAGAAGGCTCACATTTAAAGCCGGCCGATCATAGGCGCGCCGGCATGAAGCTCCGACCTCTCGGGGCCCACTGCGCTGTTTGCACTGATGTGACGCTGGGCTCAGAGTGTCCCGCAGCGCTCCCGCCTCCCCCACTTTCGACTCACACTGGGACCTTTTTTTCCCAATCAACAGCGAGCGTCGGCGTGCTTTCTTTCTGCCAATGCAGCAGCCCCAACACTCGTCACCACCACAAACTGCACCTCACTCAACACCAACGTCCTCTTTTCCTTGGGTTTTGTTTTTCCTTGACGTCCTCGCGGGTCCGGATAATGCCAGCAGACCCCATTTAGCCGCGCAACGACGCCTCATGTCTCGCCGTGGGTAAGCCAGCAGCCAAGAGCGCAAAGAGCCGCCGTCGCAGGATCGAATCCCACCATTTGTCAGCCCCAAAGCGTCCCGAACTTGTGTCACACCTCGAGTCGATTCCCTCAGATCCAAACCTTCGTGATCCCTCTCCTCTCCCGCCGCCCCTCGACAACCCTCGCCGCACAGATCGGCCCACGAAGCCAGCCATGGAGATGGAGCACTTCTCGCCAGCAAGCCAGCAGTCGAATCCCACGACTCCCGCGACCACCGTCAACAACAACCCCCAGCACTCGCCAGCCTCTCCGACCACCTCTACAGCGCCAGACTTCCCCGCCCTCAGCCGCCATGGCGCAACGTCTATACCCCCCGACCAGCCTGTCGCCATGACGGCATCGGGCCAGCCTGCCCTCAATCCGCGCAGCTGCGTCACCTGCCGAAGGCGAAAGGTCCGCTGCGACAAGCAGATGCCGTGTAGCAACTGCCGCCGCGCCGTGATCCAATGCATCTTCCCCGCCCCCGGCCGCGCCCCCCGCCGACCACGCCCAAAGGACCCCAACGCCCCGCCAAAGAACTCGACCGAGCGCGAGGTGGAGCTGATGAAGCGGTTGCGCAAGCTGGAGGGCATCGTCGAGGAGCTGAGCGGCCAGATCGAAGTGGAAAGCGGCCCCGGCAGCAGCGGCGGGCGCCAGAACTCGAGCACCGGCAACTCCCCCGAAACCACAGGCCACGAAGCGCCTTCAGAGCGCGGGAATAGGACGTTTACTGCTGCGCAGCTCAATGCGATAAAGGAAGGAATTGCGGACGGGGCTGCTATGCAGAAGAAGTTGGAAGCAATCGAGGAAAAGACGAGGGGCATGGAGCCCAAGGCCGCGAGCGTCAGCAAGTCGTTTGGCCGCTTGGTGTTGCACGACAAGGGAAAGACAAGTCGATACGTGAGCAGCGCGTTTTGGTCCAAGCTGAATGATGAGGTGAGTCGGTCGAGAGCCGTCATGATTCGTTAGCTGACGGTGGTATTACAGCTCGACGAACTTCGAGAACGAGCGCGCATCCTTGACGAAGAGTTCAGCGACGAGTCTGACCAGGAAGACACACCGGATCACTCGCCCCTGCACGCCGTCGACGCATCGACCGATCATCACGCATTTATACTGGGATACCGATCGTCGGACGTTGACTTGCGCAAGCTGCATCCACTGCCGTCGCAAATACCCTTCATGTGGCAGGTGTACCAGGAGAACGTGGAGCCGTTGCTCAAGATTCTGCATATTCCGACAATGGAGAGGCTCATTCGCGACATGCGACGCAACATGGACGATCTTACGGCCGGTCACGAGGCTTTGTTGTTTTCCATCTACTATGCCGCCATTACGTCCATGGAGGACGAGGAGGTTTGTGCCTCTATCTAGCACACTGGCTCCAGCTAACCACCAAGCTAGGTCGAGAAGAACTTCGGCTCCAAGAAGGACGAGATGCTATCGCAGTACCGTTTCGCGCTCGAACAGGCCCTCGCAAAGGCAAATTTCCTCAACACCTCGGATATCGTAGTGCTGCAAGCCTTCGTCCTGTTCCTTACCCTTGTACGCCGCCAAGACGACACGAGATTTTGCTGGACGCTCACCGGGCTTGCAATCCGCATGGCGCAAGGAATGGGCATCCACCGCGACGGAACAAACTTCAACCTCCCGCCTTTTGAAACAGAAATGCGGCGCCGCCTGTGGTGGGCCATCTGCACCCTCGACCTGCGTTCTGCCGAGGAATTGGGTAGCGATCTTACCATTATCGACCGTTCCTTCGACACGGAGCTGCCGTCCAACCTTAATGATTCGGATATCGATCCAGGAATGATTGACCCGCCAACCCCACGCCAAGGCAGGACGGATTGTGCGGTTTCACTTGTTCGTTACGAAATTTGCGCCTTGTCGAGAAGGCTGCACACCGTCGGCTCAGCAATGGCGGGTGTCTGCCCGCGCGATGCGTCCTCTACTCTCGAACAGCGCGAGAGCAAGCTAATCGAAGTCTACAACCGGGTCGAAGAGAAGTTCCTGCAACACTGCTTTACGGATGACGACCCGCTGTTCTGGATGGCGGCCATGATCGCCCGCGTGATCATGGCCAAGATGAGCCTGGTCATCTACCAACCCATGCTATTCCCCGGCAACGGGACCGAACTATCAGGCGAGATTCGCGACAGACTTTTCGTGTCAGCAATCGAAATTGTCGAGTATAATTATATCCTAAACACTGACCCCCGCTGCCGTCAATGGCGGTGGCTTTTCCAGACGTATAGACAGTGGCATGCCATTGCGTACATCCTCATGGAGGCCGGTCGACGCCCGTGGTCAGCCACCTCTGAGCGTGGCTGGGAAGCAGTCAACAAAACCATTAGATTCGATCAGGACCCTGGTGAGATAGCCAAGATGGCAGACCACATGGCTGTGTGGATGCCGCTGCGAAAACTCAGCGCGAAGGCCACAAAGCATCGCGAAGCTGAGATTGCCCGTCTGCGAGCGAACCCCGAGGCCGCCCGCCAGCTCGACGTCGACGACCGCATGGACACGATCCCGGCCAGACTGGGCCCGGTGCCCGGCATGGAGAGCCAACAACAGGCAATTCGCACACGATGGAGGAAGCTCTGCGGGGTCCGGGCAGATCTGCCCATGACACAACCGCCACCCGCCGAACGGAGGAATGAGAGGTCCACGGTGGACCCATACCCTCAACCCAAACCTGCCGAGGAGCCGCCCGTCAACATGTTCCCAGGCCAGGTGGTTATACCCGACGAAGACACGGAGCTTGATACGGTCATGATGTCCCGAGCGGGCTTCACGTCCAGCGAGATGTGGGAGTACATCTACCCCACGGCGCAGTCCATGGCCGCAGACCCGAACAACACACTATTCCCGCCCAGCGCGATCCAGCCGCCGGCATCGCAGCCGCCCATGGTCACGACGGCAGTCCCCACACCGGCTATTTCCAACAACACCCAAATGACCGACGCCGAGCGGAGGCAGAGGCAGCAGGCCATCGCCGCCACGTCCCAGCCGCAGATCGCGTCGTCCCTCAGCGACAACCAGCCGCCGTGGCTGTGGTCTGACCCGTTCACGTCCATCAACAACCGATTCGACGACGTGCCGATGGACACGATGGATGTCAACATGGATAACCTGGACGACTTCAACTGGCAGAACTGGCAAGAGAGTATCAAGGGGTTTGAGATGGACCCGGAGAATATGCCGGCCAAGGGGGCCTGGTAAAGGGGCGCGAGTTCGTTGGAAATTTCTCCTCTCACGCGACGGCCCTTGGAAAGGCTATGTAATGATACCCACTGCAAGCAGAGGTAATGAATGAATGATGAGATGTATTTTTACCATGTTGATGCCATCTATAACGCCCAATCTTGTGCCACTAACTACTCCACCGACATCCCTCCCGCCCAACCATCACCCAATTTACGACCCTCACCATCCGCAAACAGAAAATAATCTCTATCATGATCCCCAGCCAAAAAGCAAAAAGAACTGGACGATCAGGGAATCGAACCCTGGACCACTCACATGCTAAGCGAGTATTATACCACTAAACCAATCGCCCAATGTTCATGATTTCGCCCGGACTTGAACCGGAGACCTTCAGTGTGCCAGGCGAGGGCATTCGGAGAATGTCCTCGATCTGTTAGACTGACGTGATAACCAACTACACCACGAAACCATTTCTTGTTGCGGAGGCAGCAGGGGGAGACGGCTTTGAGGGTGGGCGACGGGAGGGCGACGGGAACCCACTCTTCAGCGGGACTGGTGAGTAAGATGGGTTAGTAGAAATGGAAAGTGGATGTCTGTATGTGTATGAAGTTTCGGGAATTGTGAGTGTGGGCGAGTTTGTATAGTTTTAAATGTGGAATAAGAATGAGTGAGAGGGTTTGGAACTTGAGTGAGACTGAACGAGGCTCGCAGGCGAAATAGCAGGCAGCCACAGTGAGCCTGCCGTGGCGGTGCGGCGGTGCAGGGGGCTTTTGCTGCAGCGAGGCACTCGGTGTCTCACGTCTCACTGGCCGATGTGACTCAGTGAGTTCATTTAAATGGACCTCAACTCACCCTCTTATCTCTTGAGACCGACTGATCACTCAACAAGCGCTCATTTCATTCTTTGATCACGACATTGAGTGTTTCTTGGTGCTGGAAAGATGTCTGTCACTACAATCAACCCCTTCGCGAACCCGCGCATCGGCGTCGCGGCGATCGTCCAGCGCAAGGACGGCAAGATCGTGGTTGGAAAGCGGGAGAGCAGCCACGGCGCAGGTAACGTCAACCCCCTCTCAGATACTTGCTATCAAAAGCCCCTCATTCCCAGAGGTTGCGAGGAATTCTTTGTGGTTCTCTGCTCTCTCATTCGGCCCACGATGATCAGACGCCGACGTCGCTGACCCTTGTACAGGCACATGGCAGCTCCCCGGCGGCCACCTCGAATTCGGAGAGTCCATCTTCGGCTGCGCGGAGCGCGAGACGGCGGAGGAGACGCAGCTCAAGGTCAAGGCGAGCAAGATCGCCGGCGTGACGAACGACGTGTTTCAGGAGCAGGGGAAGCATTACGTGACGCTGTTCGTGAGGTGCGAGATGGACGATGAGGCGGCTGAGCCGGTGGTGAGTTCTCACCTTTCCCATTTTTTTTCCAAACCCCCATTGAGATTGCGGTTGCTTTCAAATGAACGTTGCTGACGATGGATAGAACCTGGAACCTGAAAAGTGCTCCGGGTGGTACTGGATGTCGTGGGATGAGGTTAGAGAGATCAACGCAAAGGCGAAGGAGGGGGATGCGATGAAGCTGTTTATCCCGCTGGCTCATCTTATTGAAGAGAATCCCGATATTGAGAATGCCTGAGGTCTAGCATTCGAATGGAAATAGTAGCTCTATAGATCTTTTGCGCTCAATTTCAGTCGAGTTTCTACTAAGCCAGCCTCAGGTCTTCAACGAAACCTGATATTCATTATGAGTTCTTGGCCTCTTCCAAATCTTCATCCGTATTCTTCGACGCATTCCCCGAGAGCTACAATGTCAAAAGTTAGCAACTTTCCTCGCTCATAAGACGCCAAACTCACCCCAATCAGCATCCTCTTATCCCCCGGCACAACCATCTCAAAAGCATCACTAATAACCCCATACTCAAAGTACCCCAGCCTCGCAATCGGATTCGTCTTCCTCACATCAATCTTGCCATCCGTCAACGCCCACTCGTCCACATGCACGCCCACCACCCTTCCAAACACCACATCCACCGTCCCCATCGGGCCCTTGCCCGGCAGCCGCACCGTCTGCACGTACTCGCACTCGAACCGCACCGGCGACGCCTCCACCATCGGCACCGGCACGCGCAGCCCGCGCGAGAAGGTCTTGGCGAGCCCCGCGCGCGCGAACTCGTCCTCGTCGGGCGGCACGGCCTCCGCGGTGACGTTGACGGCCTCGCGCAGCGCGTAGGTGCACAGCTGCCAGCAGAAGACGCCCGTGGCCTCGATGTTGTTGACGGTGTCCTTGCGGGTTTGGGTGGCGTCGTCGGGCAGGGTCTGGTTCGCGGAGAACATCACCATGGGCGGGTCGAAGGTGACGTTGGTGAACTGGGAGTAGGGCGCGAGGTTGTGCTGGCCGGTGGGCGAGGTCGTTGAGATCCAGCCGATGGCGCGGGGGACGACGCAGGCCTGGGCGGGTTAGTAAGATGTGAGATGGAGATTGGGAGGGTGTGGGTTTTACTTTGAAGGGGTCGTGGGGGAGACCGTGGTCGTTTACGCCTGGGTTGTAGTACATTGTTGCGGTGTTTGCGGCTTTGGGGAGTCTAGCGGCTCTGTGTGTAAGTAATAGACGATCTTTGCCGGCCGGTTTGAAGGTCACTGCGGCTCAATCGTTCTTGGCGGGATTATTTATGATAGAGCATGGAGAACCGTTGTGCTGACCTCGGATCCGGATTACGTCACTTGTGAAGCACGGTCGGGGAGTTCGGAGAGTATGCTTTCTCGGTGCTTTCGGCTCCTCGGCACGTTTGACGGAGGGTGGAATTGGGACTTTCGATCGAAGGAATTCGCTTGATTCGGCCTTGGTTGATTGACTACCTTCAGTACCTCCTTGGTGGATTTAGCTGCGAATCGGTTTCGGACCTGATTGCTTTTGAGGCGATGGCAAAGGTCGTAAGACTTTATCCCACGCCATGTTGGCCCTGAACTCATCAATTTCCTTCCCGTCATCTGGGATACAACTCTTAGTTTTCGGAAAAGGTTAAGAATATCACCACTGCCCTCTGAGAAAAGTGTAATCAGGTGAAGTATATTGTAGCGTAGGAACGATAATCTAGGTAAGTGATGGCGAAAGACAAGGCTGAGTTACGAATGATTGATCATTGAGCGTTTACATAAATGGTATGAATGTTAGACTATCGGCGACTCCCCCAGTGAGGCTAATCAGTTTCGTACATGAGCCTGTCTCTTAACTATGTTGGCTACTGAGAGTATGACCTAGGTTTGGCTCTGACGTGGTGCTCTTTAGAACGGTCCATCTATCTTAAACTCGATGGGCTGTCAGATCAGCACCTTCCCTCTATTCTCCCTCGAGAACGTTGATCCCCTTAAGAAAGTGAAGTCCTTGGAAGCTCTCGCATTATGAAAAACCTCCCCGCTATGCTGAGAGGTTGTCATTTGGCGATTTGCTGAAACGTAGTTCTCTCCTGGTAGGGATAGCAATAAGACTCATCGAGCTGATTTGTCCATTGATTGGATACGTGTGAGAAGCATGAAGCGCCTGTGTGACTAAAGACAGCAGATGCGAACATCCGGATGGTGATTATGATGCCAAAACGTAGCCGGACGCCGAGCATGTCTTCTTGCACATTTTAATAGACGCAACAGGCGCTACTCGCCTTAGAGAACTGTTTCTCCATAAGATCAAATCATTCCTGTTGCCTTGTGTAAGTTTGCATGTTTTCTCTGCCTCTACCTACATTCGAACCCATCGCCTCCAAACTTTCTGATCATGTCTCGTTTCTCCCGCTACGACACGGACGAAGAACGGCTGCCCGACGGCATGCAGCGAGTGGGCTACGATGCCGGCACGCAGATATATACATACCGTGATGCAGACAGAAGGTTACCAGCCATCATTGCATTTAGGGGTGCTAGTTGTAGACCACTCAGGGAGTTTGATCATTGTGAGTTGGTGCGTCTTACTGTGGGAGCCTATTTCGAAATACAAGCAATCACTCCAGAGTCAAAAACTGAGCGACTGCCATCACCCTATTTTCTTTGCTTTCTGCCTCGCTCATCCAATATCTTTGCGTCTCGTTCTCTTGTGGCCATAGACTTTGCACCCGGTATGCCACCCAGACCACCTTTTGACGTAAGGCACAATAATGAATCGACATCAAGGTCATTCCAGGGCCATACCACATGGGTCACAACATCATAAGAGAAATCTTGAGTCAAATGACAGAAAGGCGCAGACAATGGCGCCGCAACGGACAGAGATTCCCGAAATGTTGACACAAGTAATACGATAGACCTATCTGGAAGGCAACTTTTATCTAAATACTGACCTAGGCTAATGCTCTTATGAGCATCGAACCCATTGCCAACATCTCTGGTACGAACGCTTGAGATACGTCGTCTTCGGAGAAGAGGAAGAGTAGGAGCAAGATGAAGTCGATTTGCAGGCTGATAATTACATTTGAACGCCTACATGCCGACGTGGTTACCAGATCTGGGCTACAAGCTGTGTTGACTTGACCACGCCGTTGTGAATGGCGCAGATTTAATTGGCAAAGCCTTTGTCCGACGCACGTTGTCATGGCTGAGTAGGCTCTTGCCGGTGGTAGTGGATGCATTCGCGGCCGAGTGGCAAAGGGGCGCGGTGCCACACGTGCGTGTTAGCAGCTTGAGGCGGGGAGGCGTTACTATGTTTGCGTTAGAGCGCCAGGAGAATGAAAGATGGCGCTTGACTAATTAGGACCACAAAAGCCGTACTGCGAGGCTACAACTGCCGACTTTGGGTCACCTCCAACTGCCGGATTCCATAACTCCCAATCCGGCTCCTGTGCATGGCGGTATGTCCGGATTATGGTTCTGTCGATCTCACCGCTGAACATTCGCAGTGTGAAACATCCTCACGATTGGCGCGAAGAGGATCGATCAAGGGAAGACATTGTTCCCTGATCACATTCATGGCTTATGATGAGACACGTGCCTATGAAACCAAAGTACAGAGAAGCGCTTCCTATCACGCAGCACTGCTCTTATGTGCAAAGAACTGGACACTGGAAGCCGTCTCTGTATGAATCCCACTAGTGCTTGCCCACCAGGCTGTTGTGTAATTAAGCCACCCGGGTCGAACGCCTCCGAACCCATGCGATGCTCCCTTGCCCATCAACCCCACGTTTAGGTCACAGTAGCGTCCGCTGGTCCAGGCCGGTCTTTGTCTTCTGAATAGATTTCCTTCACCACAACAACCGTGCTCACACCCGAGTCGCTTGAAAGTGCATGTCAGAGAGGCTCTCGGTCTTATTCTGTGTTAGCGTTTTGTTTTGTCTTTTTTTTTCTGACTCGACAATCGATCGCCCAGGCAGGCTGTTTTGGTGTAGGGGACAATTAGGGGTTCCGCGTCCTGGGGATCAAAAGGGAACGATGTGCTCACACACTAAGATTAATAGCACCAGTAAACGACTTAAGTTTCGCCGCCAT